TATATTATATTATATTATATTATATTATATTATATTATATTATATTATATTATATTATATTATATTATATTATATTATATTATATTATATTATATTATATTATATTATATTATATGTATGTATTTATATGCATTTGGTATAAAATAATCTAAAATAAGTTATATATAATAATTTAAAATATATTCTAAGTTTATAATAATAATAATTATAATAACCATTATTAATAATTGAGCACCAATAATAATTTATTATAATTGATCAATAAATCTGCATATTATGATGAATTCTGAAGGATCATGTGACACTGAAGACTGGAGTGATGCTGCTGAAAATTCTGCTTTGATCACAGAAACAAATTACATTATAAAATACATTAAAGTAGAAAAAAGTTTTATAATATCACTGTTTTTACTGTATTTTTATCAAATAAATTCATCCTTGGTGAGCAGAAGAGACTTATTTCTAATTCGTTTTAAAAAAATCTTTATTCCAGACTGCCAGTGAATAGATTTTGTCAATTCATCCATTTCCTGGGAATCAAACCCATGACCTTGGTGTTGCTGGTGTCATGCTCTAAACTATTGGAATGGCTATTTGAGCTACAGGAATGGATAGTTTCTCAAGATGACATTTTTCATCTTGATAATACCATTTCAAGCTTAAAAAAACCCTATATGAAATGATGTGTTATTTTGATGACAAGAAAGAACATAAACGCATGCAGTCAGAGCCAGGTAGAGGATTGAAAGGAGAGAGTAACCATGCGCTGAAGGAATTTGTGGTTGGGAGTGGAAGTTCCACTCAGTGGTCTACCATTGCCAGGTGTTTCAGCAGATCATATCCATGCGTGTGGCAGAAACCAGGAGAAGAAAGAAAGTTATGAGGAAATCACGTGGACATAAACTACAGAATGTGTTTCAACTTACACCTGTGTTCTCTTTGCTTTGCTTTCCTTTCTTGACACTCGTACACTCAGGGGAAAACTCTCTCTTTTGTTGGCAAGGAGTGGTAATCAATTTTCCGTGCAGATATCGGAACATTAGAGCGCACCGCACACTAGTGCACTGTTTCTGATTAGCACTAACTTGTTTATTTGTTTGATGCTTAAAGTTATGTAAAACTGAGTGTCTTTTGGCAGATGCTTGTTTTATCTACAAAAGGAAAGCAATCAGTGTCGGAAAGACTTCTTTTTTGGGGGGGGAAAAAAGGAAAAATGAACCAGTGTTTATAGATAAAAACCATTCAGGCATGTTTGCTTTCAGCCTTCCCAATCAGACATGCTAAAAACACATCAGTTTTTCCCCTCGCGTCTCTCTGCGGTAATTCAAACTGCGGGGTTGTATCGAAAGGCAGCGTTGTCTTGACCTCACTCAGTGAACCTTGCTAATTAAAGTTGGCAATTAATTGTAAATATTAGATCAAAACTGCAAACACAATCCTAATTCACAAAATAATACACCTGACAGCAATTCAGTTTGAGGCACCTTAAATAGTTGCAGACGTCTTGATATGATTTTCCATTTCAGGCATTGTTTTGACTCGCTCAGACGTAAGGCTTTCAGTTAGTTTTGGTTGCCCTCTAGCTGTCAGTTATGAAATATTATGAGGCTTCCAACAGCATTTTTTTTCAGAATTTACAAATGAATGATGATTTGAGCATCTTATGGGATGTGTAATTGGAAGCTGCTACTTGTTTTTAGGAAGTTCTACGCGACATTGTTTCTTGAGACAGACATTTCTAGTTTCAACAGTCAGTGTTATTTCCATTTTTGAAGTTGAACCAGTCAAAAAAAAAAATATGGAAAACATGGTTTACTGTATTTTAACTGTGGTAAATATAGTACTGTCGTGAACTATAGTAGGCCTATATAATACTCTGTCATACTACATTTATTTTAGTAATCAACACACTTGCTTGTTGAATGACAATGATGTCAAAGTATATCCAAAACTTGAAATAAGTTCCATTTTTAAATGCACAGTAGAAAATGAGGACTTTCTTGGGACACTTCCAGCTGGGAAAGGTCACCAAAAATACATTCTAAGAACATTTTGCTAACGTTCATATCAAGTAATATTTTCAAGTTATGAAAACTTTATTTATTAATTTGCATCATTTTGCAAACATTATGTATGAAACAAATAGTTTTTTTAAATGTTACATGAAAAAAAGTTTCACGAATGATGTATAAATAATGTTTTTGCATAACATTGTGTTTGTCACATTGAAACAAGTATTCACATTTTTTGCAATTCATTTCAATCCAGTTTCATGAGCAATGTATAAATTATGTTTTTGTGCTAAAATTTTGAGAACAAACATTCTATTAATGTGACTGGAAGAACGTTAGTTCATACAGTATGTTTGAGAGAACCTTGCCAGAAACCTTAGCCCAAGTTCTGAGAACATTCCCTGTTGGGATCTGGTAACTTGTAATGCATTTGACAAATATTTACTACAATAGTCCTTTAGAAGAACCTGTCCTTTTGATGGATGTCTTTGAAATGATTTGATCAGCCATAGAGTCATAGCCTGAGGTTTAGTTCTCTTTTAGGTAATCACACTGCTCTCCACTACTACTATAAACAGAACTTAATGAGACAGGATATTGTTCTAATGGTTGGGAGGAAAGAACATGTGTGCTCTGGTCTGCAACATAGAACTTATTAATGTAGACCTCTGCTCTTTACTGCCATCAAACTGCACCCCCAAATTGATCGCATTGCAGAGTAGACTATGTTTACAAAGCACATTTGAATCAAAATGGCCTCTTAAAATGGAAAACCAAAAGATATTGCCTGTGGTCATTATGAACTTGCATATTGTGCCTGAGTAAATCCATTCTAGCTCACTTGGAGCAATTGGAAGCGACATTTATCGAAGAGGTTCAACGGTTACGCTGTTGCTGTAGTTTTTATGTGAGGCGCATGGAGATTGGGTTCAGTGAAATCGGACCCCCGGTGCTTTTTCGAGGCGTTTCTGAAGGCATAACGAGCCGTCGTGTAAAGACAACATTTTTGCATTGTGCCAAATTGCAAGACCGCAAGAAATAAGTCCCAAAAATAGAACGATTGTATTAATTGCAGGAAATTGCCGGTGGAAGATTACCGTTTTTTTTTTCTCGTGCCACCAAAAGAGAGCATTTTCTCAGGGTTGTTTCCACTTAAGAAAATCATTTTCTTGAGAATTCACATCGTTGGGGCTGGGAATGGCAATCGGGCAGCTGCGAGCGAGCCAAGAGCTGGGACGGCGTTTGAGAGAGAGGCCCACTTGAGATAAAGTCACCACACATTATGCAGTCTTGCCTCATTTTGTGGTGCTAAATGGCCTGAACAAGTGCAATAATAAGACTGTGTGCCAGGCCTTGAAATACAACTATAGAAAGATTCTTTTCTGCAGCCTGTATGTGAACCGTAGCACAGCTAACGGAGAATGTGTGCCAGATCGGGATCCAGATACCACCCGGCATCCAAGTCTGATTCGGTTTTCCCCTGTTGACAAATTTTCTGTGCCTTTCAGTCACACTTTTTTCCTTCGAACATTCACACACTCACACACTCACTCAATCATACGCACCTCGTTATCTTATTTGCCACTGCTGGATTTAGCAAGCCACCCTTTGTTGTGTGCGATATGCCACACAGTCTTTCCCAGAATGCTTTGCCTGCGACACCTGGCTTGCATTAATTCTGGTCTGAGAAGCGAACGAGTGTTATGCACTTTGCTCCACTGGAGTGTGAGGAGGGGAGAAGGGGTGAAGAAAGGTTCATTTGATTTGGGGTTCTGCTTGGAGAGCGGCTGTCTTTAAATCATTAAAAATATCATTCACGGGCAGCTAAAAGTCCCGCTTGGTATTTTAACCCTTTAACTGTTTAACTCAATAAAACGGTTAAGAGACTTTTTTCAAAATAAAACTCTTTGAGTGAGTTAAAACAATAAAAGCTTTAACAATAAAAAAATACTTTCTATTCAACAAGTATAAGTATCACAGTTTCCATATAAATATTATCAATAAGACATGTCTCTTGAGCACCAAATTAGCACATTATGATTTCTGAAGGAATTACAATGATTCATACAGTGATTTCTGAAGGATCATGTGATACTGAAGAAATCCAGCTTTGCCGTCACAGGAATAAATTGTGTTAAAATTGCAACAAAAAAAAAATGTTTTAAGTATTATATATATACTGTAATATAATTACTTTTTTAATGTGTTAATCCCAACACTGAACATGAATATTATTATTAATCCACTTCTGTTGAAACTAAACTTTCTGCTTGGTCTTTAAGCTGTTGTTTTATGCAACCAGAATTTTTTTTTTTTTCTTGATTATTACTCAAAAAGACTTTAAAGGGATACTCCACCATTTTTTCATACCAAAGTATGTTATTCCCTTAAAGGGATACTCCACCGTTTTTTCATATTTAACTATGTTATTACCTTAACTAAGACAAGTTGATGCATACCTCTGTCGTCTCAGTGCGTCTCTCTGGCGCGCGAGACACTTTAGATCGCACTTAACTAGCCCAGTTCATTGAATAGGGGCCAAGCAGAGAAGCGACCAAACACCTCCACATTTTCCCTATTTAAATACAGTTACACAAGTAGAGAAACTCGACCAAGAATGGTGACACAAAATAAAACGTTTACACGCTTAGAAAAGTGCAGCGTTTTATTTTGTGTGCCCATTCTTGGTCGAGTTACACCACTCCCTATTTAAATAGGGAAAACATGGAGGTGTTTAGTCACTTCTCTGCTCGGATCATAATGAATGCTAAGTGCTATCAAAGTTTCACCGCAAGACAGAGCGATTTAGTGCACGCACTGAGATGAGTGAGTTATGTATCAACTCTTCTACATAGTTTTATATGAAAAAAACAGTGGAGTATCCCTTAAAGGAATTTCTAAAAATGGATGTCATAATGTTTGCTACATCCCCTGATCACGAATCAGAAAATGAGCGGGTTTTTTTGTGTTTGCTTTTCTTTGACATAGGGGGTTCGGGGAAGGGCCACCGGACCAAAGAGCCGAAGAAGAAGTCCAACAAGCAGAGGCTGCGCTTCCGGGCCCAGAACCAACACAGCGACCACCTCGCCTCTATTCGGGCCGGCCAGTAGAAAAAAAAAAGACTTTACGATGGAACAAAGACCATAAAGCTGCTAGCCACGCTCCACACACACATACCCTGATGAGATCACACACACACACACACACACGCATCCAAACGGGATTATCCACATTTATGTGGTCACACTGTGTCTCTGTGCCTCCTGCTGCTTCCCTCACCGGTGACACGTCCCCCCCGACCCATGACCCCACTGTGATATCATGGAACACTACAGCAGCTGTTCATATAGCTCATATCTCGTCCTATTTGAGGAGAAAGAAGAGAGAGACTGAGCTGGAAGCACAGAAAGCCCGGGCATGGAGACCTGGAGGAGTCGAACGAGCACAGACTGGAGCAGAAGAGATTGGAAAGGTTACTCAAATGTGATTGACTGATTATGATGCCCTGAAAAACAAGAGAGAGACTTATCTGTATTTATGTACAATTTAAAGCATTCCCCTTCCTTAAGAATCAAGGCAGAGGGCATCATGTATGGCCTTTCTTGTCAAATAGGTACTTTGTTGTTTCTCATAGCAATGTTGCAATCCACGCATAGTTGCGAAATTATTATTCTCAGCACAAGATGTTTACGTCCAGACCGCTTTATGCTTTAACTGTATATTGTGGGTAAGAATCTTAGTTGTTCAACTAGCATGGCCACAAACTCATGTGTACATAGTCGGTGAGTTTATCTAGTAAAGGTAACATTGATGATAAATATAAAAAAAAAACCTTACTGTATTTTCAGTATTGACACTTCAGCGTTTAAATGTGTAAAGGGTTATAATACCAGCTACAGTTAAATGAATTTAAAAAGAACAAAAAAGCTAAATAAAAAACATAGCCTTCACATAGCTATTACATTTATATGGTATATAATTGATTTATTTATTGATTCTTTTTTTTATTTTTTATTATTATTATTATTTTTTATGTTTGGTGAAGATGATGTCTCTGTACCTAATACTCCTCAGTGCTGAAGTATTCTTTCAACCACTTATAACAATACAAAATATCTCTAACAGTGGAAACCGATTGTGTCCGATTTGCTGGTAAATGTTCCTCAGAAAATCACTGTGTAAACCTGGTTTAACATCTTGTACTTTATGTTGAGCACACATCCTGCAGCAGCTGAAGTATATCGTCAACTGATTGATAATGTGTATATTGTGTGCTATTAAAACGCAGTTCATGTTGCACTTGGTGCCGTTGTATACTTTCAGAACCTCGCCAACCTTCCGTCGAGTCCTGAAGCTCTATTACGTAACATTTGTCATTTCACAGCACACCAACAGATATGGCCAATTGGCAACAGAGAATAGGGCCCTTATTGGAATGTGACATCATTCAGAGCAGCTGTAGGCCCTAAGTCTTTCTGACAGGTGCAAATGGCATCACTCCATCCATCGCTACAGGCACTGCAACCACTTCAAACAACCTCTCAGAAAGAAAATGAATAAACATTTTCTTCAGGTAGGTCCAAAACTGTTTAATTTGAGTCACGGACAATTAACCTAGTGCGGTGTGCTGTATAATCGCTGCCTCTGGGGGAAAAAAATACACATAAAATACAAGCCTGATCTTCCAAACGGAGTACATTTATCATGTACTAAAAGTCAGACAGCAGACGTCCAGATTCTAACGTGAACCTAGAAATTATTTCCAGACGAGGATAAGAAAAAGTATATACCAAACCGAATTATTCATTACCAAATTATTCAGACATCAAATATCATTTTTTATATTTTTAGACACTAGTTCATTTATGTAGTTAGGATAGCAAAGTAAACCGTGACATATTATGCACACAAATACTTGGGACTACCAGTAAAATGTATATAAAAAAAAAAAAAATCAGACACTTTGACCTGACCATGTTTTGCTAAAGTGTTTTTTCTTTAATTTTTTACACCACAGACTGAACAAAATGAGGCATTGCTTGGTAATTGGTTGACCTTAATAGGTATTATTTAATTGTGTACTTAAATTTAACAGCTGACAGCTTTTCCACCTAATTCATTTGTGAGACAGTCTAACAGAGGGATGGCCAAAAACCAGTGAAATATCAACTGATTTGATAACTCTTGAGTTATTGCTTTACAGTATTAGTCTCAAACAAACAAATGCATACACTACAACATGTAAATGAGAACTAATATAATGTATTAATGAAATTAACTTTTTATTAAATACATTTAAATCGAATGCTCATTGTTGATGTATAGTCATATACTCATGCACATTACATTAAATTTAAATTTTATTTAATGGGAGGGGAAAATGGTGCCAAAGGGAAACTGTGAAGTAGGCCTAGCTTTCCACCATTTGCATTTCACAATTTGATGCATTATCCTCGTGATTATGTTAAAAGACCCCTGGACAAAACTGTTGATTGGATGCAAAAAAACAAAACAAAAAACATCAGTATTATTTGGGCCATCTTTGAAGTAGTGGGGTCCATAAACTCTTCATGTAGTCAATGTATGTAAACTTACTGTATAAACACCCATCTGCTGTGGGTTACAAGTTAATGAACTCCTCACAGATGTCACCTCGGGGGCCACACCACCACCAAACCCAACTGGAAACTTACAGTCAAGAAAAAGGCACACTGAAGTGTTTAAAAAGAATAGGCTACCACCAAAAAACTATAAAAAGCTAGGCTTCATATTTTTTGCTGTATAAAAATCTGCCGCTGTGTGTAGTAGGGCCTACAGTATTATAATGTAAATAAGTTCCTCTTTCTCTATAGTTAGTTAATCAAAACTGAAATCCTATCAACATACAAAATGTTTTTTTTTTTTTTTTTGTATAAGTGCTATTACTAAACTTCTTTTAAACTAAAAAAAAAATATTCAGTCAGTCTACTTATTATGTACTTCTCAGAAATATATTTAAAATTGACATGAGCCTACCGACAGGCAAAGTCAAAGAAGTCAAACAAAGTATGTAGCCCCGCCCCTTTCCAGCTCATTGCTCGACGCCTTCCCGTTTGCCCATTTTCACAGCATGAAGGTAAGATGAATGAATCGCTTGTTTTAAAATCTTCCCGGTCTACTGACATTTGTTATGGCATCTGCTTCAAACATTACAATGCTCATGATAACTTTCGTTAGCTCTACTGTTCAAAAAAATCCACTTTATCAGCTAATTAGGCTACTCTTCGATGGGTTAATTTACTGTCTTTGGTTCATTGAAGTTTTCAGGAGAAATGGTGTTGACAATGCATTTGCACATGGTTTGTCTAAATGGATTATTGAAAATGACCTTGTAACATAGCTCTAAGTGAATGAAAACATCCTGCAAAGTTTTAAATCTGAGTGCACCAAATATAAAGTTATTGTCTTTCAAAAGTAAGAGTCGTGTCTGAGTCAGTGACTATGTTTACATGCTGACAATTTTCGGGTTAAGGTCATTATTTGGGTTTCTGAAACATTAGGAATAACCCGTTTACATGCATGAGCAGAGAGAGTTTCTCCTGTACAATTAGGGGAACTTTTATGTCCCCAGGTTATACATTCATGTTAAAAATACAATATTATAAAATAAACAGTTTAGTTATTTCAAATTATATTTATTGCACCACCAAAAAATGTTATACACTAAAATCAATATCATTTCCATTTTTAAAAATGTTTTCATCACTAATATTTGGCTATTCAGGCCTTGTCCCCAACCCAGACTTCAAAACTGGTCTGCTCTGAAAATGTGATAAAATGTTATCAGTTCATTAAAAAATTACAATATATGTTTAAACAGTAACTTTAAAAGGCACTTGATGCATAATTCGGGTTAATATCTGCAATTTGTGAATATTTTGAACAATTTAGTATTGTCCACAACAATACTGTCATTACCGCAACAGTCTATAATTACAACAAGGATATTTCTGAGGGTGAGACTTGTTTATCCCGTTACCATAGAAATGAAGACTAGTAGTGGAGCACATGTCAGCCATGAAAGAACAGTGAAATTTGATGTCTGACAAAGTTAGTAATTTAATCTTGAATTCTTTCTGATCATGGAGTAGACTTATTCGGCCTCATTACCATAAATGTTGTAGCAGCAATATTTTGATACATTTATATATACATCACATGATTTATGTGTATTTAAAGTTTTAGCACTAGCTGTTGAGTAATGTTAGCAAAACCATGACCTACCATCTTTTTTCCTGAAAAAAATTTAAAATGTCATTACCGCAACATGTCATTGGCTACGTTTACATGCAGCCAATTTTCGGGTTAAGGTCACTATTCGGGTTTCTGAAACATTAGGAATAACGCATTTACATGCGTGAGCATATATATATATATATATATATATATATATATTTTTTTTTTTTTTTTTTTTTTTTCCTGAAATGATACACTATGGGAGTATAGTGAAAAGCAAATTGTTCTTAGGTAGTCCCGTTCTACCGTACTTTTTCCACATAGTTGTACATGCTGTGGTATACATTGTTTAAAAACATTTAGGCTACTAATTCTGAGTATGTGATAAAACCACTTTGTTCCTGACTAGGGATGGGCAACGGTTAATTGCGATTAATTCGCATCCAAAATAAAAGTTTGTGTTTACATAATATATGTATGTGTAGTGTGTATAATTAATTATATAAATACCCACACCCATGTGTATATTTAAGAAAAATGTGTTATTAATATATCAAATATTTATATTTATATATAATTGTGAATAAATATATATAAAATATATACATGCACATATTTCTTAAATATATACATGCATGTGTGGGTATTTATATATACAAATTAATTATACACACTACACAAACATATTATGTAAACACAAACTTTTATTTTGGATGCGATTAATCGTTGCACATCCCTATTCCTGACCCAAACAAGCTATATGAATTCAGTGGAAATATAGCATAAAAGCGGTTTAGGTGACTTTTATTATGTTTTTATGACACTGTTGTATCCCTTTTTAAGTTTGAAAGTTCCACTTGCTATCAAATGTAACTGAATGGGAAAAATACAACAAATCTCCCTTTGTGTTCCACAGAAGAATGGCAGGTTTGGAGCGAGCGACATATGGGTGAGTAAATGATGACAGAATGTTTATTTTTAGGTGAAGTAATCCAGGACACACTGCACATGCTATAATGGTATCTAATGATGGTCCACACATCAGAAGTTTACGTTGCCCATTTCCTCTTGCCATATTGCGATTTCTCTTTTCATCATAAAACCACTTCTGTAAACTACGTGGCAGCGCCTTAAAGGCAGAGTATCATAGTGAGGATGTCTGTATGTTCCTGGTGTGTGTGTGTGTGTGTGTGTGTGTTTGCCTGTGGTATGAGGTTCTGGTCTAGTTGAGTCTACGGCTTCCTTTTAATCTGACGGAGTGCGTTTTCATTAGCTCCATTTGGTTCTATTATTACGGCACACTTCAAAGACTGGAAGCAAGTGGAACCACAAACAGGAAATGCTGTTTGTGAGGCCTGAGTGCTAGTGGTCCTCATTCTCGTGCCATTTCCCTCTCATCATTCTGTCATGTACAGAACGTTTGCTGCCTGAATGACACGCTTGTTCCAAAGCAGATGCCGGAGATGGAAGTTATGACATGGCATCGCCAGAATAATGACTTTGCCCGGGACAATAAATGTTGAAATAATTTGCTGTTTTCAATAACTGTGTAATGGGGCATTGGTTGCCCACCGAGGCAAAGGAAATCTGGGATCATTAGCTCTCTCGCTGAAAATGACTTTTTTTCTTTGGCGAGAGATCCTGGGTGGATATATATGCTCCGATGTTACTGGCCAAAAGTGTCTGCTGGTGTATAGTGTATCCTACAACTTTACCATATGTTTACAACCAATGCCCAAAACATACAAAATTTAAATCACTGAAAGAGAGAGAAAGAGTTGGGAAGATAGAGCGAGCAAAATAATTTTTTAATGGAAATATTATCCAGACTCTCAGTCCTTTTGGGAAATGCATGCTCCTATCTATCTATCTATCTATCTATCTATCTATCTATCTATCTATCTATCTATCTATCTATCTATCTATCTATCTATCTATCTATCTATCTATCTATCTATCTATCTATCTATCTATCTATCTATCTATCTATCTATCATCTATCTATCTATCATCTATCCATCCATCCATCCATCCATCCATCCACCCCCCCCTCTCTCTATAAAAATTGCATTTTTGTAATGGTT